AGCATGGGGATGGGTTTCCACATGCTTCAGATATGCATCTGACTAAAAAAAAGTGAATTAACTTCAAACATATACATGAACTCAGTATGCATACTGAAACTACATGAAACTATGAGCTCCCATTGATTGATCAACAAATTGGTTATCTCAATCCACGACTGTTTGTGGGACACTGCTGTGCGCAATTGTCACGTTTCACCCAAACATACAGTCAATTCACTTTACAGTACTTTCTGTGAAGCACTTTGAGACGTCTCGAAGATGTAATAAGGCGCTATATCAAATGCAAGGATTATTATTATTATAACCTCTCTCCTGCCTTTGATACCGTTGACCACTCTATCCCCCTCCACCATCTCTCCTCTCACCTCAACCTTCATGGTTCTGTCCTTGAATGGTTCAGATTGTACCCCTCACACCATCTCCACTTCATCTCCATAAACAGCTTCTCCTCTAGCTTCCGCACCATCTCGTGTGGTGTTCCTCAGGGCCCTGTCCTTGGTCCCCTCTTCTTCAATAGCAATATACTCTCTCTTCCACATGTATGAGGATGACACCCACCTCTATCTCTCTGCCTCCACCCTCGAGTCCAGGACCACTGCTGTCCCGACACAATGTCTGTCAGACATCAAGTCCTGGATGAGAGCTAACTTTCTACAGGTGAACGTCAACAAGACCGAGGCTCTCCTGATTGGCTCCCGTCAGCGAATCCACACCTCAGGCGCTGACAGCATTACCATTCAAGGATGCACACTCCACCTCACTGAGCCAGTCCAGAACCCTGTTGTCTTATTGGATCCTCAACTACCCTTCTACCCCACATCTGTGCCATGACCCTCTCTGCCTTCCCCACCTCCACAATATTGCCCGATTCCGCCACTACCTCACCCCTCGTCCACGCATTCATCACAGCTAGCCTCGACCAGCCTTCCAAACTCTTCCCTCCACAAGCTGCAGATCATCCAGAAGCCTGGAACTTGTGTCCTCTCCTGCCCTAGGCTCCACTGGCTCCCCATCCCCAGAGGATAGAGTTCAAAACCCTTGTCCTCGCCTTCAAGGCCCTCCACAGCCTTGCCCCTTCCTACCCCTGTGACCTGCTGACTCCATATCAACCTGTCCATACCCTCTGCTCAGCAGGTTCTGGCCTGTTTCATGTCCTCCCCACCCTGGCCCACTCCATCAATAACCAGTCAGTGCAAGATTTGGTTTTCCAACAGTCATGTATTTATCCCATTGGTCTAATTATATTAAACTAGATTGAAAACTTCAGCTGACTAGTCATTTTGCTAGGACTCTGGGGCTGCAAACATCCTATTAGAAAATACAGTCAAATCCAGAAGCACTAAATCCTCAGGCATAGAAGTAATCAAACCCTAATGGTACATCCATAAGTATTGCTGATTGCTATCAAGATACAAGGGAACCCGGTTATATTTCCAGTCAGGACAGCGCAGACTCGCTCATAGTGCTGGTATTCCAGCGTGTTCGGATGTGCTCCCAACGTGAAAGGTGCTACACAAATGTAATTTGTTGCTTTTGCCAAACTTCTGGTTATCAAGTTGCCGCTAATGTCACTTTCTGCATGTTGCACTCGGGCGTGCTGTACACAGGAAGTATTGCTGAGGTTAGTGGCTCATTTCGCACAGAGTGCGGAGGAAGCAACGTCAGTAGAAGCCCAATGACCCAGAATTTGCCTATTTTTTCAACCTTCATTTATAATGCAGCCTTAGATATTGAACCCAAAGGAGCAAGTTATAGCAGGGTTACCCTGTACAAACAAGCTTGGATTATTAGAGAGAAAAAAAACTTTAGAAAAGTTTGTCCCAATCTTCTACAAAAAAATTCTCATGACATGTTCATAATATTACAGCTGAATTAGCAAATGATTCCTAAAAACATCCTGGGCTATAGCAACATATTTTATCTCTAAGTGAAAAACCTCCAAGTGATCATTGATTCCTTTCAGATGTTCATTAAACACACACTGAATTAACAGATCAAACCCAAAATACTTTGAATTTCTTCTTCTAAAAGTTAAAACCTGTTCTGCAGCATGCATTTCACGTTCATGTTGCATTTACATCTCTGCATAAACAGTCGCAGCAGCACTGGCAGGAGCCTGGGCGCAGATCAAGACACAAGAGTTTGACCATTGAAAATGCTCGGTTTGGGAGGAAACTGAAGCAATTTCACGTTGCAAACTAAATCAGCTTGCATCTGTAATCATACCTTTCACACCGGAAAATATTTTACAGCACTTTGCAGGGGACGGTTCACTTGACCAAATACATTTCAGTTTCAGATTTGTAAAGAAGCTTAAGCCCATGTATGGAAACTTTGGTCAAAACTTGGATGCTCTGCTGCAATGGGTTCCCACCTCACTAGAAGCTTCTCACACAACACTGATGCCGCTGCCTATAAAAGGCTGAGCTGTGTGAAACCCAACCGTCTGGTCATCTACTCTTCATCTCGAGGACAGATGTTGTGTCATTATTGCATGGCTGAAGGGGGGAGTTGGGGGAAGATAAAGAGATGTGAAAGAAAGAGACCAATAGCAAGAATAAGAACTTTGTTCTTTAACATTTTGTTATACAAAATGCAATTTACAAATACAGTCACTGCATTTGACAGTGGTTACCTGTGAAGTTTTAAGTCCTGTAGCAAATGTAAGGATTATAACTTAATGAAGCAATGGCACGGCTGACTAACACAAACACTACACGGGAGCTGGAGACTGAAGAAGGGATGGTGGGGGAAGATTCAATGCCCTTTCCCACTGTAAGATTGTTTTTTTGCCTTTGGAGTTATGCTTCTAAGGATCCCAGAATGTGCAGGCACAGAACTGTTTACTGTTTTAGGTGCTTTGAGACATTCTCCCGACGTGAATGGTGCAATATGTAAATTGCATTGTAATAATTCTAGTAGTATGTACAAGTATTTAACAGGGCCAATAATCCTCCAAATACAAAAAAATGGTCATTCACTTCATGGCTGTCTGTGCGACATTCTCATGTGCAAATTGGTTGTCAAGTTTGCCTACAAAATACAGTGACTACACTTACAAGAAAATTGAAGCTCTTGAAAAAGGTTTGCTGTGATGAAGTGCTAGATCAACGCAAGGATAATTATTACATTTATTTTTATACCTTGGAAGCTTACAGTACAACTATAGCCAAGAGCAAATAGTAGCCAATTTATTGTCCCCACCCAATACCAAAAGTCAACCTGCAGCTTTACTGCAGGTAAACTAGTTTCGCTTGTAAAAATGTGTTTTTCACCTTCCCAACATTACCCTCTCCTTCACAGTAAAAATTGAAATGTGTTTGAAGACATGTAATTTGCGCAATTATCCAGTGAAGGCTTTGAAACATCTTGATGACATGATAAGGCACTATATCAAATGCCAGGATTACTAAAGCGCTCCGAGGTGCCACCCCGTGTGAAGGCCACTACATAAATGCAAGTTGTTCTGGTCGGCTGAACTACGAACAGTCAATAGATGTAGGCGGAGGTATAAATTACACTATCAAGACAAATTGATTACAAACACTAGACTAGTTCAGTGGGATTAATACTGTTGTACAATTCCTTCAGCCAAACACTGTTCGTAAGGTTTTGATCACGAAAGTTCTCCAAGGCACACTTTGCAGTATGAAATCAATCATCACACTTTACAGAAAACTCCAAAGTTCTTTGAGGTAATTCATCACCCCAAAACATCAGATTGCTCTTTATCCTTGTAGGCAAAACTTAAGCATATTATATACTGAATGCAGAATAAACATAGCCAATTTTCTGAATTTTTTTTGTTAGCCAGATATGAACTTAGCTTGATGTTTCCAAACAAAACCCACATATGTGCAGTTCTATTTGCCTGGTACAGAGCGCAATCCTCAAGTTATCATTCACCTCCTGCCTGCTTGTGATTGTTGCTGTGCATAAACTGTCTGCCATGTTTGTCTGTTCATACACATCACTCTTTACAGAAATACATAAAATACATATTTCCAGGTAGTTTGTGGCCTTACACGACAATGAAAAAGATGCTGGAGCACCAAATAAATAGCTGTAAACTGCCTTTTTGTACATCTATGCAAGTTCAGACCTGCAACAAAATTAGTACTTTGCGTTAATTTCCCCTCAGTTGTTCACTTCATTAACCCAGCATCATTCCAAGTTTCCTTCTTCCAAGTTTCTCTACTCTCCTGAAAGCAGCACACTTTCTAAGCTACAGCTCCACAGGCGCCAACAATCTTTCAGCATTTCACGCCAGTGGTCATTCTTCATTTGTGAGTCAGAACGGCAGACGACTGTTGGCTATTTGTGAAGCACCATCATAGACGATATCATCTGATCTTTGCCGAAGCCCAAACACGTTCACCTCTAGCAAGGGCCAGCAGCCAACATGATCTGGAGTACGAACCTCAATCAATCTTTTCTCCTCTTTAAAACTAGGAAGCTCAGGGCAAAGGTGCAGTTCTTTTCTTGCACTGTTTTGCTGCCGCATTTCACCCACAAAATATACAGTCAATCCACTTCACACTATATCCTGTGAAACCATTCGAGACATCTGAACAACACGATAAGGGGCTACATCAAATGCAAGTATTATTATTTATTATTAAAGGTGCAGTTCTAGTACAGATAGGAGATCAGACCTTGCACTTTCCAGGTCTATACGGGCTAGCACCACACTCTGCAGTGTATTTACCAATTAAAAACATTCTCCTTAAAAATAAGACTTTCTGTTCTACATTTGGGGGTTTCAAGATGACCTTAGGACTTTCCAGGTCTATATTATATGCGCCACCACCACACTTTGCAGTGCATTTACTCATTAAGAACAATCTTCTTAAAAATGCACTTTTTGTACTTAGTATTATTTTGTAAAAAATGTTTTAAGTTTGAGATGATCTAGGACAGCAATCTGTGAAAACAACGAGTAAGGCAATCAAATTACTGAACAAGCAGAATAAAAGCTTTTTAAATTAAAAACTTACCTTTGATCCACAAGCAGGTCATCTGTACTCTGCTCAGAAGCAGCCTGTGGAGAAACATTACAAAGTTATTTACATAACAGTACAAAATTTAAGCTGGTTCCTCTCCGAATGCATACCCAAACACACACTCCGGGATCCCCAAGCCATGGCTCTTGCCCACCTGCCCCTAATGCTCTGTGGAATTAGGCAAGCAGGAGAGAGTGTGCATTTCATTCCAAACACAGGAATTTCCATGTGTAGGTGGCAAGCATGGGACTCTCGGTTCGGATACTCTTAAGCATGCTTATAGGTTTTTGCATGCGTCAACACTCGACTGACTAAAACCTAGACAGTGGTAGATGAGTTTTAAAAAGTAAGATGTATTTTGGGAAAAGGAGCAGGTAGAGCTCCAAAATACCAGTGCCACAGCCCAAGTCAACCATATTCCTTTTAATACATTAAATGGTTGAGAACCAGAGACACCAGAATTGACTGTTTAAATCAACACCCACCTAAAGCACTAGTCCTTCCAGGTGTCAGCCTGATTCTGTTGACAACACACACTCCTCTAAGTCAGGAGGTTGTGAGTTCAAGCTCCACATCGAAACTTTGAACTCAGTCTAGGCTGACACTTCAATCCAAGTCTGGAGAAAGCTCTCTATTGCCAGAGGTGCTATTCTTCAGATGAGGCATTGAACCAAGGTCCCCTCTGTGTGTTTAGGTGGATCTTATGCCTGGGACACTACCCCATGTGAAAGGCACTATATAAATCCAAGTAGTTGTTACGTCCACCCAAACATGCAGCAACAACAAATTTACATTTATATAGCGCCTTCACATCAGGACATTCCAAGGCAGTGGTCAGTCCAGCATTACTCAAAAAGAGAAGGGAGTTTCTCCCAGTGTCCTGGCAAACAATCGCTCAGATAAAATTGGTCATTTACTTCATGACTGTTTGTGGGTCATTGCTATGTGCAATTGTATATTTTATGGGCTTTCAATGAGATGCAAGTACAGGTTGCTGTTAAAACAGTATTTTGAAGATAGCAAAATATCTCTTTGTTAAGTTTATTTAAAAATAACGGCGAAACAAACCCTACAATAACACAGAGCTGCAGGATTTGATGTCGGCTAGAAATGCTGTGAATTTAATTCTGGGCCTTATTTCAAAGTCTCACCTGAGTGTGAAGTAATACCTCTCCCTCCTCGGTTTGCCAAAGCTCCACTACGCTGGGAATGTCAGCAAGTGCTGTTAGAGGAAAAAAAAATTTGTCAGTAAAAGCGAAAGAGCTTTCATTAACCTAACGACAGAGAGAGAGAGGGGGGGGGGGGGGGAGGGCATTTTTCTGAAAAAGCATTTCAAGGGGTGACAAAAAAAGGTCTCCATTTAGCTCTCAAAACCTACACCCAACTTTTAACCCAAGTAATAAGTTAACCGAGATGCATGCACTCCGGGTTTAAAAACAAAATCGCCCTTTTTTTGTGCGTGTTTTCTTTAAAAAGCAAAGGAAATTGAAATGTGGAGCCACGAGTGTCCCCTGCCTGCAGCATGAGGCTGCCTTCTGCAGCTACAACATGCCCACCGAGGAGAGGAGGGAGAGGGAAGGAGGGTAAACACCACATATTTACTGCTCAACACCACAACAACTCACAAAACATTGCCCAGTGCCCAGGATGGCCCTCAAATTTAATACACACACACATACCACAAATACACACACACACACACACAGACATATACCACAAATATACACACACACACCACAAATACACACACACACATACCACAAATATACATACACACACACCACACACAAACACAAAGGGGTTATTACAATTTATGACTCGTGGTTCAAGAGGGGAAGAGAGAAAAACACCGCACGTTTACTATTTTCAACACCACAGCGACTTATAAAACACTGCCAAGTGCACTGCCCTCAATTTTAAAAACACACACCACAAGCACAAAGGGGTTATTATAATTTGTGACTCGTGGTTCAAGAGGAGAGAGAGAGAGCACGCACCCACCCACCCCATGCACACACGCCCCCCCCACACCCCACGCTGCCACACACACCCCCAGACACACATATACACACACTCACCCACGACACACACAACCAACCCCAGGCACACACAGTGCCCACCCGCCCCCCACCCCCCCCAGGCACGCACAGTGCCCACCCACTCCGGGCATGCACAGTGCCCACCCACCCCAGGCATGCACAGTGCTCACCCCCCCCCCCAGGCATGCACAGTGCCCACCCACCCCAGGCACGCACAGTGCTCACACCACCCCAGGCATGCACAGTGCCCACCCCCCCCCCCAGGCATGCACAGTGCCCACCCACCCCAGGCATGCACAGCGCTCACACCACCCCCAGGCACGCACAGCGCCCCCTCCCCCAGGCACGCACAGCGCCCACCCACCCCAGGCACGCAGAGCGCCCGCCCCCACCCCCCCACAGTGCCCCAACCCCTGGCCAGGCTCGCACAGCGCCCCAACCCCACCCCCACAGACACGCAGAGCGCCCCAACCCCACCCCCCCAGGCACGCACAGCGCTCCAACCCCACCCCCCCAGGCACGCACAGCGCTCCAACCCCACCCCCCCCAGGCACGCACAGCGCTCCAACCCCACCCCCCCAGACACGCACAGCCCTCCCACACCTACATACATGCACATATACCCACACCCGCCCCACACACCCCCAGACACACACACACCAGACACCCACCTGCCCCCATACACGCACCCCAGACACACACCCCCCACACACCCCCCAGACACACATACCCCCCCCCCACACACACACACCCCAGACACCCCCCCACACACACCCCCCAGACACACACACCCCCACCCCCACACACCCCAGACACCCCCCCACACACACCCCCCAGACACACACCCCCACACACACCCCCACCCACCCACACACACCCCCCCCACACACACACCCCCCAGACACACATACCCCCCCACACACACACACCCCAGACACCCCCCCACACACACCCCCCCAGACACACATACCCCCCCACACACACACCCCAGACACCCCCCACACACCCCCCAGACACACATACCCCCCCACACACACACCCCAGACACCCCCCACACACACCCCCAGACACACACCCCCACACACACACACCCCAGACACCCCCCCACACACACCCCCCAGACACACATACCCCCCCACACACACACACCCCAGACACCCCCCACACACCCCCCAGACACACATACCCCCCACACACACACCCCAGACACCCCCCACACACACCCCCCAGACACACATACCCCCACCCACACACACACACACCCCAGACACCCCCCCACACACACCCCCCAGACACCCCCCACACACACACCCCACACACCCACACCCCCCCACCCCCACCCCCCCACCCACCACACCCACACACCCCCACCCACACACCCCCACAACCCCACACACAAAAGGGCGATTACAATCGATGACTCGTGGTTCGCGAGAGGAGGATAAACACCGCACATTTGCCGACACCGCACAAAAACGACAGCCCCGGGAACTCGCAAAAGCACTGCTCGGCTGCACATGTGTGTGTGTGGGTGTGTGTGTGTGTGGGTGTGAGTGTGTGTGGGGGCCTTCTCCAGTGTCACTCACACACACACTCACACACACACACACACAAAGGGGGTGAGTCACAATTCACGGGGGTGACAAACCTTGGGCCGAGGGGGTGGCACTTTGCGTGGAGAAAGGCGGCAGCAGCAGCTGGAAGATGCCGAGCAGCAGCCTGACCCACTGAGCCCGGTGCCGGTGCTGGTGCTGGTGCAGCGGGGAGCCCGGCCCGGCCATCGCCTGTCCCTGTGTCAGTCTGACTGAGGGCGTCGGCGTCAGCGACCGCGGGGGCTGAGCGTCGGCGGCTCCTCGCCGAGCCCCGCCCCACCTCGCGTCACCGGCCCGTGACGTCGGCACGTCTGCGGCGGGACGTCACGACGTTCGGTGCGGGGAGGAGGAGGGGGGGGGCCGCGTCAGCAGCGGGAAGTGACGACAACAACAACAACAACAATAATAATAATAATCCTCGCATTTTGATATAGCGCTTTTCACGTCGGGAGGACGTCCCAAAGCGCTTCGCAGAACACACTGTAAAGTGAATGGACTGTATGTTTGTGGGCGAACGCAGCAGCCAATTGCGCACAGCAATGTCCCACAAACAGTCGTAGATTGAAAATGATCAATTTATTATTGTTTTTGGTTTTGGAGGGATTATTATTAGGCTCTGTGTGGAGTAAGGAAACTTGCCCAAGGTTTCGCCCTCTGCCTGGAATTGAACTCAGGTCTCTCGCTTGCAAAGCGAGTGCTCTAACCACTGAGCTACAGGACTCCACAATGATGAGGGCGGGGATTTGGAGTGGGGGGCGGGGGGGGGCACTCTGGGGGAGGGGGGAATGCGGAGGGGGGAAGGCGGGTGGGGGAGACGTGTGGGGGAACGCTTAGGACGGGGAAGGCGTGTGGGGGAGCGCTCTGGGGGTGAGGAAGGCGTGTGGGGGAGCGCTCTGGGGGTGTGGGGGAGCGCTCTAGGGGTGGGAAGGCGTGTGGGGGAGCGCTCGGGACGGGGAAGGAGTGTGGGGGAGCGCTCTGGGGGTGGGGAAGGCGTGTGGGGGAGCGCTCGGGACGGGGAAGGAGTGTGGGGGAGCGCTCTAGGGTGGGGAAGGAGTGTGGGGGAGCGCTCTGGGGGTGGGGAAGGCGTGTGGGGGAGCGCTCTGGGGACGGGGAAGGAGTGTGGGGGAGCGCTCGGGACGGGGAAGGAGTGTGGGGGAGCGCTCTCGGGACGGGGAAGGAGTGTGGGGAGCGCTCTGGGGACGGGGAAGGAGTGTGGGGGAGCGCTCTGGGGACGGGGAAGGAGTGAGGGGGAGCGCTCTGGGGTGGGGAAGGCGTGTGGGGGAGCGCTCTGGGGACGGGGAAGGAGTGTGGGGGAGCGCTCTGGGGACGGGGAAGGAGTGTGGGGGAGCGCTCTGGGGGTGGGGAAGGCGTGTGGGGGAGCGCTCTGGGGACGGGGAAGGAGTGTGGGGGAGCGCTCTGGGGACGGGGAAAGCGTGTGGGGGAGCGCTCTGGGGACGGGGAAGGAGTGTGGGGGAGCGCTCTGGGGACGGGGAAGGAGTGTGGGGGAGCGCTCTAGGGACGGGGAAGGAGTGAGGGGGAGCGCTCTGGGGACGGGGAAGGAGTGAGGGGGAGCGCTCTGGGGACGGGGAAGGAGTGAGGGGGAGCGCTCTGGGGGTGGGGAAGGCGTGTGGGGGAGCGCTCTGGGGACGGGGAAGGAGTGTGGGGGAGCGCTCTGGGGACGGGGAAGGAGTGAGGGGGAGCGCTCTGGGGACGTGGAAGGAGTGAGGGGGAGCGCTCTGGGGGTGGGGAAGGCGTGTGGGGGAGCGCTCTGGGGACGGGGAAGGAGTGTGGGGGAGCGCTCTGGGGACGGGGAAAGAGTGTGGGGGAACGCTCTGGGGGGAAAATCTGGGGAGCGCTCTGGGCGGAGGGGGGAGCACTCTGAGGGGAGGGGCGGTGGGGAGTGTGTCAGGAGTGCCAAAGGGTGGGGGGGAGTGTCAGGAGGACTCGGGGGTGGGGAAAGCACTCGGGGGGGATGGGGGGAGTGAAGTGTCGGGAGGGCTCTACCCCCCACCCCCCAAGAGTGCGCACCCCAATACTCCACACGCACATCCCCAGAGTCCACTCCTGGACACATACACTCTCTCTCTGTGACACACACACACTGACTCTTTCTCAGGCACCCACACACTCTCTCACACTGTCACTCACTCACACTTTATACGGTAATGTATGAGTAATAACAGAAGATGAACTAGCATCATGACTAATATGCATAAATGTACAACTCTTATGGCTGGGGGAGAATATGATCAGCATTTCTGTTGAAATTGCACAGGCCTATGCATCATGACTAAGAATATACAATAAGCCTGCTAAAAAAAGAACTTGCATTTTCATAGCACCTGATCACATCCAAGTACCTCAAGGCACCACAGAAGTAATTGATATCCAATGTATTGACTAGATTTTGCAGGTAATTGTGGCAGCCATTTGTACTATCAAGGTCTCATAAGCAGCCATGAAGTGAAAGATCAATTTATCTGGAGGATTGTTGACTGGAAATTGTGCGAAACCCCCTTCTCTTTGGAATGGTGTCACAGGAGCTTTAACATGCATTTCAACAGGTAAACGGGACCTTGTTTTAATGTGTCATCCGAAAGCCGGCATACCCTACAATGCACTGGAATTTCAACTTATGACCACAACTTTCTGAACCCAAGAGGCAGCTTGTTACCAACTGAGCCGAGGGAACCACATTTAAATTCCACTGTTACGCTGTTCTATTGCTTTAAATAATTTTCTCAATCTTTAAAAATGACTTTCACCTCTTCCACTAATTCTCTGGAATATTACTTCATTCATGGTGCCCGCTTCCAGCACTATCGCTGAGACTTTTATCCACGCTTTTAATCACATCCAGACTAGAGTATGCCGATTCTTTGATTGCCAGACTTCCCAACTCTTGCCTTCATAAGCTGCAGACCGTTTAGAACTCTGCAGCCCTTGTCCTCTCCCACACAAGAACTTGAGAGGAATACCCCTATTCTCTGTCGGGGGGTGTGGGGAATGTGGGGCTCATAAACTGCAGGTCCTGCCAATGAGTCAGGCTGTCTCTGTCATCAGCATTGGCCTGGAATACTGTGGACCCGTCTGGTTCAGGAACAAGGCTACCGACCCCACCACAGAGAGCTCGATTCTGACATTCCATTGTCAGTTTAGCTCCAAGGAGACTGCGCTTACCTGCCCTCCCCGCCTTCCAGGAGAACAGTCACCAGTCAGTCATTTGACATCTACCAAGCCCTCACTGCGTGGATGGCAGATACCAAGAACTCCCTGCAATCTTCCTGGTGGGCAAAGCAGCTGAGCATGAAATGCACGAGAGCATCGCCACAATCTTCCTGCCCTCAGCTCGGGCACACGTTCCTTCTTATTGAGCAGTGGTTCCACCTGTTGGACGTGCGGAGCTTGAGCATCCGCTTCTTACCTCTGCAACCAATCAGGGTGGAGTTCAAGCGCTGGATGTATGGACTCTAGGTAACATCTTCCAGCAATTGTGGCCTCAGAGTTTCCTCATCAGCTATCTGATGAATATTTGCCTTCAGGGTGGTAGGAAGAGCTTTACAGGACAGCTTGTGATGTGCCAGTCATCTTGATGTTCTCGAGGTCCAAGTTCATACCTGAGCAGTGCTTTTATGTTTCTATGAGCCAAAATCATCTCTTTCTGAGGTCAGTTTCTGTGAATGGGAACTGACCTCAGAAATTCCAAGCAAATGGTCCAAGACTAAAAATAGTTTTAAAAAAAATGATTTAACTAATTCCTTAACCACGTATCGCTTTTGGATGATAAACATATCAATTAACCAATTCATGTTTTAAAATTTTACAAAAAAAAACTTTTTTGAAGTGGAGATTGCTAGAAATGTTTTTCTACGTCGAAGGAAACTAGGGTACACTTTTGGATTATTGAACGGTAGAAATTACAACACTGACATTTTCAGTTTTGCTGAAGGTAATAAGAAAATACTCTTAGATATTGCATCAAAATATCTGTACTTTGCAGCCAAACTTTGTTCACAAAATACACAGTTTGCCCACATAATACAGTCACTATACTTTACAGTAATCCTGTGAAGTGCTTTGGGATTTCAAAGTCCTGACATGAAAGGCACAATACCAAATTAAGGATTATTATTAGTAGTGGTTCTGCAGCACTGTAATTCATCACCAAAAGACGAGAAAGATTAAAGTTTTTTGAAAGATGGATTAGCTCTCACTATTCAAATAACGTTGAAGGACTGATGATCCTTCTGCAATAGGGAGGAAACTGCAGGGCCTGTTCCCTTTAAAATGCTTTACGTCAGTTTAGATTATTGTATCAACATTTCCACAAAAGGTAAACCGACTGCAACAACTAAGCAGCTAAATATTCTACTCTGTGCCAATGGGTTTCAACAGAATGTTTTCCAAGATCCAACAATGATAACTTCGAAAAGGTACAGCTTTTGTCCAAATAAGAAACTTGATGTTATAGTACTGATACACTAGGGGTAGGGAAGTGGTGCATAAATTTGTAAATTTGTGCGTATGCAATCAGATAATAATTTCATGGTGGAGCAATAGATGGTAAGGAATACTTGGGTTTCCAAGCTCTACTCATGATTGTAAAAAAATGTTTTCTACATTTTTTTTATTGGCAAGAGACCTAGATAGTCAAAATGCAGCTGCCATTCTCCATCAGCAACAACAATTTGCAAATAACCAGTGACTACGAAGAATATGCTACTTCAGCCAAATGCCTTTTCTACTCTAAACAGGCAGTAAACATATGATGAAGAACAGCATTTTCCATATTGGCTTTATATCTGCTTTTAACATAATTTACAAAGTCACAGTTTGTATACGGACATAGCCCTTTATGGAGGCACAAGTCCATATATACAATATGTAGTTCCATGTCACTTAGACAAACTTCTCCATGTACTGCTGCATATTATTCTTTCATATCAATATTCTTGAGATCACAGCAGTGAAAAACCATCAGGATCCTGGAGAAGGAAAGTGTCTGCCCAGCTTGAAATGCAAGGCGTGAATTGGAAGCAGGTGGAGATCAAAGAGCTGGAACAAAGTCTGTGGGGAAAACACTTCGCAGGGCCCAATAAGGTAGGAGGATGCAATCTCTTATTTACAGGGTCATCACAGGTAAGAGGGATTGCTTCAGCTAGAATTCACAGGTGCTCATTCTTGATTTC